TTCATGCAGGCTCAGCTCAAATCTACAATTGAAAAACGGACGCAGATCACCAGGGGCTCGCGAACCCCAGCCACGCAGCAGCATACGTTTCACAGTCGATAGAACGGGATCTCTGTCTGTAGCTTTCCTAACCGTGTCGCCAGATATGGGTGTAGTATTCAGGTGTTGCAAAAGTTGAACAAACTCGTAGGACGCGTCACTTCATTCCTCCTGTTGGTCAATCTGTGGCAATCTACTGAGCGCATCAGCGACATTATTGTGAGGACCGGCAATGTATCGGATTTGATAATTGTAAGCAGAAAGTAGGAGGGCCCATCGTACCATTCGGGGTGCGTTAAGTTGTTCTACGCCTCGTTACTTACCGAGAAGTGATAACAGTGGTTATGGTCAGTCGGTATCTCAAACTGGTTGCCCCACAAGTACTGATGGAACCGCTTTACTCCGAATATTACGGCCAGTGCTTCCTTGTCTAATTGTGCGTAATTTTTCTCAGCAGGTTGTAATGTGCGGGACGCGAAAGCAATAGGGCGAGCTGTTCCGTCGTGGACTTTATGTCCCAGCACTGCCCCGACTCCAAAAGGTGAAGCATCACACTGTAGGAAGAGGGGTTTGTTGGGGTCGTAATGTACCAACACTGGTGAAGAAGCAAGGAGACCTTTTGCTCTGTCAAATGCTTGTTGCTCTTCCTCGCCCCATGCCCACTTAGAATCTTTTTTCAGCAAGTTGTGAAGTGGTGATAGTACAGAAGCAAGATTAGGTAGGAACCGACGATAATGTGAAAGCATTCCAACGAACGAGCGTAACTGGGCTCCGTTACGAGGTGAGGGTGCAGAAATAATGGGTTGTAGTTTATCTTTCCGCGCGTGTAAACCATGCTTGTCCAGTCTATAACCGAGGTAGTCAACTGAATCAACTAGGAAAGCACATTTGGAGCATTTCAAACGAAAACCGTGTTCAGAGGGTTTATGAAACACCCGGTCCAACGTGTACAAGTGCTCCTTTTCTGTGCGACCCGTGATAAGAATATCATCGAGATATGCGCAAGTGTTCGGTATGTCACGCACGATATTGTCAATTATCCTTTGGAAGATCGCCGGTGCTGAGTTCATCCCAAAAGGCAGTCTAGTGTATTCGAATAGTCCCAAATGTGTACTGAGCGTCGTAAGACGTCGGGAGGTCTCATCCAACTCTACCTGCGAATAGGCGTGACTCAAATCCAATTTAGTGAACTTGACTCCTCCAGACAAGTTAGCATACAAATCCTCAATTTTCGGTAATGGATAACGGTCTATGATGGCACCTCGATTTACTGTAAGCTTATAATCACCACAGATTCGTACGTTACCGTCGGGCTTAAGTACAGGCACTATCGGGGCCGCCCATTCAGCTTGTTAGACTGGTACAATTATACCCTCTCTTTGAAGCTTTTTCAGCTCGTCTTCCACTCTAGGTCGTAAGGAATAGGGCAGTGTTCTGGCCTTAAAGAACTTTGGTGTACTTGAGTCTGACATATGGATTTTTGCTTTAAAATTACTGAGTCTGCCCAATTGCTGCTCGTCAAACACTTCTGGATATCGTTTAAGGACCGATTCAAAGGTATCCTCCCCCAAGGAGTGGATAGTATTTAATACTTGTGGTAACATTTTCATCCAATTGCGACCAAGCAAATTGACTGGAGCCTGAGGCGCGACATGAAGTACCAGACTGTGTGATCTACCCTGATGCTGCACTCGTACCTGACACTTACCAAGTACATCAATCACTTCTCCTGTATAGGTTCTAAAAACGGTATCAGTCGGTTCCAGGTCGGGTAACGATGAGAGCGCGTTTTTACTAATCAATGTCACCGCGGAACCAGTATCCAATTCAAAGAAAACAGGTTCGTTATTAACATGAAGCGTGATCCTATATGGAGACACTTTCGTCATACCTGAGCAGTTTGAAATTATATGGTTCATAAAATTTAACTGGGAATCTGGACACTCACCGTCGTCGGAGTTCAATGATTTGATCGAGACTTGTGACCGTGGGGAACGGCAAACACGTGCCAGGTGGCCAAGTTTTCCGCAATTTCTGCACTTTGTGCGAGTATGAGGACATTGGGTGGGAGAAGTGTGCTGATCCCCGCATCGGTAGCAGACGAACTTCCGTACCCTGTTTTCAGAGGATAACCGTGGTGACAGTTCGTTTACACATTCCACAGGCTGAGGAGGGTTGAAGGTGGATAGTTGGGATTTAAGGCTTTCCCTTTGACGTACAAGGTTACACGCCATTTCCCAGGAAAGGGTTTCTTCCTCCTGTGACAATAATTTTTCCCTCGCACCATCATCTGTAACTCCACCAATTAGGCACTGGATTTTCATGACTTCTTCAAACCGACTTGAGGGAATGGCATTGTACCGGCATTCCGGTGTAGCTTGATGAATGCGGGCAATGAAATCATTTACACTTTCTCCGCATCGTTGCTGTAGCTTGAAAAACTGATAACGAGCGGAAAACACACTTTGTTGGATTCCCCACAATTCCTCAAACAACTGGAGCACGTGCACAATACTGGTCTTAGCCATCAAGTTCATAGCGTCAAAATGACGTTGTCCTTCTGATCCAAGGGTTTGGCGGAATAACATTATTCAATGGGTATCGGATAACACGATAGAGGGGTTTAACACAGGAAAGAGAGTCATTTGATGTTGGAAAGATGTTTTCCACTGTATCCACGACTGTAGAGAGGGTTTTTCTGCACCATCAGGCCACAGACATGACAGTCCCGCAAGAGGGCTCGTAGCAACCGTCGCCATTCTGATAAGTATTACTCGAGTATTGTTGGATCGCACCTGGACCCTTAGTCCGCGCAAGAAGTGAATAAGAACACACACCGGATAGGACGTGTCAAAAGCTGTAATAGATAGCTTGTAGGTTACATCAGATGAATAAGTCGAAAAGGAACCAATCAGCACAAGGAAAAAGAGTGGACGAATCAGCTATCGGTCAATCGATCTGTATGTGTCTGTGTGTTGCTCATCGGTTTAGCAGAAGACACACATGTAACAGCTTCCGTCTATGATGAAACCACTTGAAGCGCCTGAAGGTGACCTGCAGTAATGAGAGGGAAGATGCATTGTTCACTTGACCCTGGCTTTCGGTACACTGAATATTTACTCATCATTATAATTATTCTGCACCTTAGCCGGGAGTGCAAAATTAATAAATAAACAATAAATGAATAAACGTTTTATTCCTCAGCAGTGCGAGGCACAGACCAATCGGGTGGTGTTATCAACATGTACAACGTGATCGCATAATATAGTTACTTGTACGCTTTTGATCAATGGCTGGCTAGCCGAACAACCTCCTCGTGGTGCCAGCTGGGTGGTTCGGGTTTTACCCGTTCCAGCTAATAGTTCGGCGGCAGTGTTCCAGGACGTGGTGGGTTTTCGCCTGGCAAGCGTTCTCCTTATAAAAAGCCACAAATATCTGCTTAACAACACTGTGACGTGGCGGTCGTGGCTCGCCACAAAATAAAGTCTGCCCCGTGGATATCTGGATAATCCTTTCCAACTCACGGACACCAATCTTCCAATCGCACCTTGCAGACGATAGCAAACATTCAATAATGGAGCAGCACAGTTACAAGCGCAAATAACACAGCTACATAAACGCACACACAATTACATACTTACATTCCCCCTACACAAACAAGAACTGTTATGGCAAACATA